TAAAGCAGGGATGGGTAATCTGTGGCACTGCGGATGTTGGGACTACATATCCCATCATCCTTGACCATTGCCCAAGTTGGCTAAAGCTGTTGGGACTTGCAGTCTGACATCATCTGGAGGGTCAAGTGTTCCCCTATCCCTGGGTTACTGCTAAAGAGGAGGAAATGTGTCCCCACCCACAAAGTGAAACGAGCGTGGTTTGGGGAAATGGCCTTAATCCCATCTACTATCACAGTCTCTAATGGTTAAACTTACTGAACCAAACCTATATCTGAAATCTCTACGGATGATCTGTCAGTGGCTTTTACAGGTTTTATTTCTCCATCGGCTGCTACATTTTTGGCACATAAAGTATTTCCTTCCCCTGGAAGAGCAAGGCAGAGGTTTGTAAAAACCTAGCTTTTCCTTAACCAAATGCCGAATTTGTGCAATTGCGCTTTTAATCCACATTCTCTGATCGGTTTTGAGACATTTTTGCAGCTGGGTTCGGGGGGAAAAGGTGGGATTTTGCTTTGAGCTAAAGTTAGTAGATTAAATTATGAAGGGGAAGTGGGGGGAAGGACACACCTTTGCATGAAATTTGCATATGCTGATTTAAATGCTTTCTGTTCCTCCGTATTGACCTAATATCAGAAACATATCTGTTTGCGATGGAGAGATAAAATCTTCTTTTTTTAGCAATACCACGATGCTGATAAATTAAGGTACAGTGGTACCTCGCAAGACGAATGCCTAGCAAGACAAAAAACTCACTAACGAAGGGTTTTTTGTTTTTTGAGTTGCTTCGCAAGACGATTTTCCCTATGGGCTTGCTTCGCAAGACGGAAACGTCTTGCAAGTTTGTTTCCTTTTTCTTAACACCGTTAATACAGTTGCGACTTGACTTCGAGGAGCAACTCATAGAACGCGGTGTGGTAGCCTTTTTTGAGGTTTTTAAAGACTTTGGTATTTTTGAAGCTTTTCCAAAACTTTCCCAACACTGTGCTTCGCAAGACGAAAAAAATTGCAAGACGACAAAACTCACGGAACGAATTAATTTCGTCTTGCGAGGCACCCCTGTAGTTATAAAACGGGTGGCTTTTGAACCACAAGATGTGTTGCTGTGTCACACAGTGGTGAAACGGCGACAGTGTTAACCGATTTGCAAAGGTCGAAATCCAAAGCTGATATATAAACAATAGGATTTCATAATGTTGTTTGATGCCCCCCTCCCTGGCAGAAAGCTGTGCAATCTATTTCTTTCCATTCATCCCTTACATTTGCAAACCACCTTTCTTCCAAAGGGCAAAAATCAGCATGTGTAATTCTCCTCTTCTTCTCTCACTTTCTCCCTCACGACAACCCTGAGAGGTAGGTTTCTGCTGCTGTACCATAAAATGGAAAATGGTGTACTATTTTAGAGCATACCTCAGTACAATTCCTAACCTCTCATTCCTTCCTCTTGCCTCAAAGACTTTTGCTTACAGGTGTGATGTATATGTCAGAGGAGAGAGAAAAAAATCAATGTTCGACATTTGCAAATGTAAATATATGTGGGGTTTTTCTTTTTGTATATTCCTTGTAATAGAGCATGCCATTATCAAAGTGAAGTTTCCCGTCATCAAGACCGGGCACAAAACAGCACACACCTACAATTCCCCTGTGTTTAAAAGTGGAGCTCCGCCGTCCGAAAACATTCTTGTAAAACTGCGAGGACGAATTAAGTCCTCCACCCCTGTCCTAATGTGTTTCGTATTTAGGTGATTTAACTCTAGGAAATACAGTTTGCTGTTAACGGCGCGTGGCGGCGGTCATTTTTCTTGCTTTGAAGCCAAGAAAACCTGTGGATATTTCATTAAAAACGCCGAGTCTTCAACAAGAAATATGTCTGTTGTATTTAAAGTCATAAAAATTGTGTTGTTTTTTTTAAAAAAAGATCTGCCGTACTTTCCTAGGTAGCAGGAGTTTTCGGAACAGCCTTTACCAAAACCAGGCAGGCAGGATGCGATGAAAAATAGCAACTGGGAGCAGGAGGCACGCAAACCATTTGTCCCTTTTTCTCAGGCTGGCAGCAGACGGGAGAGTCTTGCTCACCTCTATCTAGCGATGTCAGAGGTGGAACATGTGCTCTTCTGCTGAATTTCAGTCCTCGTCATCTGAGAGACAGGTGTCTTTCCCAGACTCACCCAGAGATGATGGAGGCTTTTTACAATGCCTTGTTGTTGTTTTTTTAAAAAGTTATTTGAAGTGTTTTAGCTGACCTCCTATCGCATTTGGTTTCTGCCATAGATGGTGAGCCCAGAAATGTGGGTGAGCACTAGCAGGAGGGAACGTCATTTGTTCTTGGCAGTGGCTTCCTCACTCATACGAACCGCCTGACTCCGAGGAACGTGACGGGCGAGTGTGCCGGATAAACTTTGCCGCATACCACTGTAACTAAACTATGACTTATAAGTGTACGGTGCGCAACTGAAAGAGGATTAGCGGCTGCTTTTTATGAGAAACGCCAAATGTGCAGGTGGAAAGAGACAAGGCGTCCTTGGTGAGGTGCAGCAGGCTCTGGGCGCCCATTGCTGTGTGGGCGCACAAGCACCGATGAAAAATGCGCCAATATTTCTTTCCAAGCTGGGGTGGGAAGAAGAAGAGTCGTGGCCGCTCTATGCAGCTGTTTTATCGTAGCTGGCTGCTGCAATATATTCTTGACACCCTAATAGCGCAGGGTGGCTCAGTTGGTTAGAGCATGGTGCTGATGATGCCAAGGTTGCAGGTTCAATCCCCGTAATATACAGTGGTACCTTGGTTCTCAAACGCCTTGGTACTCAAAAAACTTAATAATGCAAACACATTGGCATTTGGTAATAACAAAAGTTCCATTAGAAACACAATTTACAACACTAATAACCTAGTCTCTAGAAACTTACAATAACATGAAATAATAATAGGTGTCAATATATTATGCAAGCTACTAATAATTATAAATAGCAGAATGTAGGCACCCTATATATAGAAATGAGCAAACCAGGGAGCAGGCTAGCAGGCGGGGCCCAAGACTTGCATCAAAGGAGCCTACACAACACAAAACACTGTTGCTGTATGTAGGCTTTATGTTATTCGTTTTTTATCTTATATTTTGGAAATGTACATCTGGGTGTTCTTTTCCTTTACATTTTTTGGGGGGTCCCCAAGAGAGCGGGGCCCTAAGCTACCTGCACCAGTTTGTCGCTTCCACAGCCGGGAATTGGCAGTTTTCTGCTTCCGCCCCAAGTGGCACCAGCTAGCAGGGTTGTGGGTACAGCGTTGAATCTGCCGCGTTGCGCCAACCGAGTCTCAGCTTGGTTTGCTTTGCACTGGGCCAGTAAATCGCTTAGCAGCGTCGCACACAGACGTTTAGAGAAAATGTGCAAGTACTGTAGATGTTTGGGCCTTCAGCTGTTTCAGATTCTCATTTGTGGAACGCCCTCCCCTGTGAGATGCATGTGGCTCCTTCATTACTGGCTCCCATGAGAAATTTAAAAACATTCCTTTTTTTACCCAGGCATTTGATAGCTGTTCCTGACACACTCGGGGCAACTGTTTTAAGAATGTCTATATCTGTTTTGAGAATATATAATTATTGATGTTTGCTGCTCCAGGAGGAAGGGCAGGATATAGATTGAAGATACAGTGGTACCTTGGTTTAAGAACAGCTTAGTTTATGAACAACTTGGATTAAGAATGCTGCAAATCCGGAAGTAGGTGTTTTGGTTTGTGAACTTTGCCTTGGAAGCAGAACATGTTCCGCTTCCTGTTGAGTGTAAATTGAGTCCCCCGCCGCTATGGGAAAGCACGTCTTGGTTTAAGAACGCTTTGGTTTAAGAACGGACTTCCGGAACGGATAAAGTTCGTAAATCAAGGTACCGCTGTATAAATAAACCAAGTTAAGGGACTATGCTGAAATGGCGAAATTAACTGGAAAGCTTAGAAATCAAGATGACAATAATTTTTTTAAAGAATGGGAAATCTTGATTATGTATTTGCAAAAGTATTGTAAACAGGTTAATACACTGGCAGGATTTAAAAAATCACTTGCAATTTTAGAAATACTGTAGTAAAGGAAATCTGAGGCAAAAAATAATAATTTGGAGCAGAAATGATATGCAGTTAAAAAGAAAATTTAAGGAACCAGGGGTGAGGTGAGGAGGGAAGTCACGGGTTCAGAGAATCCCATTCTATGCATTTGACATTGATTTTGTATACAATTTTCTTTCTTTGTGGTTGGTACTGTATTTGTTGTTGAGTGTTTTTTGTTGTTGAAAACCTAATAAAAATATTATTAAAAAGAAGATTTAAATAAATAAGCCCTATGATTAAAGGCCTACATGGATTAGATAATTAATTAAATAATAAGGAAGCCTGTTCCGAGTATTTAGGAGGAGTAATAATAATAATTTTTAATTTATATCCCGCCCATCTGGCTGGGTTTCCCTAGCCACTCTGGGCGGCTTACAACATATAAAATGCAACAAAGCGTCAAACATTAAAGAAACAGGATATCCTATACAAGCAACATATAAACCAATAAATCAGTGAAAAGCTGTAACAACAGCAAAAATAAACAGTTTGTAGTTATACCCGAATCAAAGTAGCCACCAATCCCAAATGAACATTAACCGAGAAAAATGAAACAAGAGGAACCAAAATTAGGGAGGGAAAACCCTGCTGTACTTCTAGGGAATTCTGCCACAGAATCCTATAAGGATAAAAGAAATAGGTGACATTTCTGTGTTCCCGTTACTAATTTTAGGCAAAGGAAAGGCAGCCACCAGCAGCTATTTATAACAAAGCAACAGGGGCAAGTGAGAAGTGAGCGAGGAGATGTGAAAAGTGCCTAACAGGTGCAAGGCGAGTGCGCATGACTTCTGCGCATTGGCTGAACTGTGCACCCCTTGTGCTCTGGAGAGAGATCTGTGCTTTTCCACCAGCCGCATGGGCTGGGGAGGGGAAGGGGGGGAGGAAAGGGGGAGAGGCCATTGCTGCAGTGCTGTATAAATTACAGGCACACAGGCCTTTTTTTCCTGAATGAAATAGCTGAGCAGAGCAGAGCAGAGGATTTAGGGCAGGAGGCCTCCAGTGCTTTTCCTCCGTTCGTTTTCTACATTCCCGCCTCAAGAAGAAGGAAAAAAACAGGAAGAAGATGAAGTACGTCATAGGAATTGGAGGGTAGGTTGTTCCTCGTTGCGTTTTGTACTTTTGCATGCTCTAATGCGCCAATGTGCTTTACGCCTTGGACAAAAGCCAAGTTTGTAAACAGAAGTTAGGCTCAAAAAGCCCATGAAAACCTCCAGGCTCTGTAATTATTATTATTATTATTATTATTATTATTATTATTATTACTGTTATTATTTTAAAATGTAGTTTGGACAGATGTAGTGATGTTTTCAAAAGTATCACCCGCTCTTTCTCAGCGTTTATATATGAAAGAATGAGATGAGGAGTCAACTAACCCCGGCCTAGAAATGGGATTTGGAAGCCTAAAAGAGGGAATCTTGAATAGCCAATTAAAAGGCATCACTTTAACTTTTATTCTACGATTTCATAAAACCCCAAAGCATCGCTTTTTAATAATGGGAGATGTAATAATGTAATAGAGGGGGGGGGGGAGAGAGAGAAGGCGCCTGGTGTAACCTGCAGGAAAAGAAAACGATTGAAAGAATTCCTGTTGCAATGCGCGGAATGAAATTGCGGGGAGACATCTGTCCATGTCCTTCCCTAAATTTGCTTTCGCGTGAGTATTTTGGATAGATCTGGAGCCTGGCCGAGACACTGAGATATTAATTCTGCCCCCTATATTAATAGGGCTGTGGCAACAATCCAGGCAGTGCCTGCAACCCTAATACTTTCGTTAACAGCATTTAGAAAACCTTGCAGAGTAATGATATATGCTGCCCTATTCTGCATGCCAAAAACCTTATTACAGCGCATGATTGAGAAGTACCACTTTATTAATTAGGGTGCTTTCGGCCAACACAAGCTTTGAGGTTGCTAAAGCCTATGGGATGTAGGAGGACCCGCTTTCAAATCCCCTCCATTCTGGCAAACCTTAAGAATCCCAGAATTGCAGATTTGGAAGGGACCCCGAGGTCATCCAGTCCAACCCGCTACAATGCCATAGCTGCCGACGTTTCCTTTTTAAGGGAAATTCCCTTATTCCGAATAGGATTCCTCGCAAGAAAAGGGAAACGTTGACAGCTATGGACAATGCAGGAATTGCAACCCGCAGCCCTGGCAGGGCTGCTGCAAGGATAAAAACAGTGGGGTGGGAGACGCGATATAAAATATCATGATGATGATTATTATTTTAATGGATTTACGCAAGGCTTAAAGGTGCTTCCAGGAAGGGGTTTCGTCTGAAGGTGCGTTGCGACAGGTGTTTGCTTTCCTAATTTACCAGATTCCCCCCAGAAAGGATAAAATCTGAATTAGGGATGCAGCCTAGCATTTTGAGATACTAATGGGGAGAGGGAGGACGAACTTGCAGACAGGAAGGTGCACCAATTCCACATTAAATGTCAAAATGTGGATTATTGGGGGGGGTGTACTTTTTTTAAAAAGCACAGCCATTTCCTTCTTTTTCAAAGCCAAGCCAAAAATGCTTTCAGAGCCTGCAAGACCCCCTTTGCCCAACCATAGGTTGAGCTTTCTTAAACCCATGATTACTGTGCAATGCCTATTAGATGCTAATAATAATAATAATAATAATAATAATAATAATAATAATAATAATAATATACCGCCCTATACCCAGAGGTCTCAGGGTGGTTCACGGAAAAGATCAACATAAAAACCACAATATATATAATCAAAATAAAAACAGCAACCTAATAATAATAATAATAATAATAATAATAATAATAATAATAATATACCGCCCTATACCCAGAGGTCTCAGGGCGGTTCACGGAAAAGATCAACATAAAAACCACAATATATATAATCAAAATAAAAACAGCAACCCAATAACATGCTAGATATTTTGTAGCATGGTATTACTTCAATTTGAGTTCACCAGGAGCTTCCTTTTAATTCACAGCATTAATTTTAGGAGGGCGGGTGGGCAAAAAATAAAATAAAGAGCAGCCACGAGTCGCTTGCCTCCAGGATCTTACAAAAGGGTTGTTGTTTTTTAGGGAGGGTAGCAAACCCACTGCCAGATCTTATGTTATTATAATTTATTATAATAATAAATTATTGTTATTATTATGGGAGCTGGCTAGGACGGGAACCGTCTTGAGGGGAGCTGAGCCAAAAAAAAAAAGCAGAATATCTGGTCACTAGCGGCTTACTCTTGAGTAAATGGATAGGGAGCTGTAGCCTCTTGCAGTTACAAAGGCAAAAAGCAGAGAGGTCTCTGCCCCAAGCCGTTTACAATCAGGAATACTGAGAGTTCAAAGCGGCAGGAAAAATTGGCAGAAACCCAAAATTGCTTCTGCCCCCTCCAGCCCTCTAGTATATTTTCTTTCTAATCTCTCACTTTAGGTTTCTCATTAAGTTTCCTCATTAGACTCAGGTTGTTTGTTTGAAAAAATCTAATTTCAATTAGATTTTTATCATAATCATTGGTGCCTTTTAAACACGAATATACTGTTTTAATTCTATCTGTGCATAGTTTGATTTTGATTCCCTCCCTCTCTTTCTTTTTTCCTTTCCTTCTCCTCCTGCAATGAGGCTACATTTTAATATTTTAATGTTTCAGTATTTTAATGTTGCATTTTAATTTTGTTTTTAAGTTCTAATCATTCAACTTGTTTTGATTATTGCTTGTAAGCCGCTCTGAGCCCGGCCTTGGCTGGGGAGGGCGGGGTATAAATAAAAAATATTATTATTATTATAGTTGTTATTTTTTATGACTGGCTTTTTCCCCACGTTTTTAGACGCTTCTCGCTTTTGCTTTAAAAAAATAAATAAATCTGTAAGCCGCCTTGAGTCCCATCAGGGAAAAGGCAAGATAGAAATAACATTATTAGTATGTTCCATAAATGTCCAGTGGACAACCTTGATGGGTGAAAAATCTTTTTCTACCTCATTTAAAAAAAATAAATGTAATTTTCTCCCCCCCTCAAGTGAGTAGACCCACTAAGCCTGTTTATATCCTTTAATTTCAACGTGAATACAGGACTCCCAGTATAAATATCACTGGGTATAAGCGAATATACAGAGGCATAGCTGTCAACTTTTTCCCTTTTCTTATGAGGAATCCTATTCGAAATAAGGGAATTTCCCTTAAAAAGGGGAAAACGTTGACAGCTATGTACTGAGGCAACTGACAGGTGGTTGTTTTTTTTTAATAATAAAAATACATATTTCTTTTCTTCTGTTTTATTTACTAATCCGTATGAATCTATACAGTGTTTAGTAAACAATGAAAAAGAAAATAAATGAGGGGGTGAGAGCTATAAATCATTCCGCTCTCTTTGAAGCAAATATATAGATATCTCTGCTCCTTCCCGCCTTCTCCCGCCCAGCCACCCGCCATATTAATTAACCGACGAGGCGGGGAAGCTTTTATAACCTCCGCCCCGCGCGCGCCCTGAACCGAAGTCCGTTAATACTGGCGGGAGCCGCGCCAGCCAATAGGGGGACGAGCTCCGAACACGCCATTTCTTGAGGCTCCGCCCCCTTTTGCCTTGTTTGGGAAAGACTGCAAGAAAGAGGCGGGAAAAATAAGAATAATACAGTACTGTATTGTTTTACATGGGAGTAAACCCCGCTCAGTGCAGTGGGGCTTACTCCTGAGTAAATGTCTTTAAAAAAATAAAATAAAGAATTTCCTCTGTTCCTTTTTTTGTACATTTTTTTGCACTTAATTTATTTATTATTAATGTTGCAATACATATATGAAATCTTTACATATTGATTCATATATTTGTGAATTCACATTTTCACATTTCATTATGTGCCAACATTTATCCATTTCTTATTTCTAGCCCTCCACCCCTGCATGACTTCCTTCTTATCATTTTGTAACTTTATGACTGAGATTTGTAATTTTGTATCTTACTGATTAAACATTCAATCTTGTATATCTGCTTAGCTCAGCTTAATTTTGTGAAATCAGTCTATACATATCAATAAATTCTTGTTGGAGCATCTTTTGGTCATTTCTTCTACACATTTCCATTCCTGTTTGAGATTGCATTCTAATTGTTGCCGTTATTTTTGCTAATTCAATCATTTAAATATATATATATATATTGCCAATCTTTCAATGTTGGTACTTCTTCTGTATTGTTTTACATGTGAGTAAACCCTGCTCAGTGCAGTGGGGCTTACTCCTGAGTAAATGTTTTTATTAAAAAAAAAAGAATTTCTATGTTCCATTGAGAGGTTAATTTGTGTAAAAAATAGTTCTTTTAAAAAAAATAAATAAATTTAATTACAAAGTAAATACATCAATACCAAACCATACATAAAGAATAATATGGGGGGTGGGGGATAAAGAAGGAAAAAAAGAAGGAAAATTGCAAAGAAAAGTAGGCAGTAAAAGAATAAAGAAAAGTATAATATTTCAATACAATAAACACTATTTTACAAAATATGGTAATAGCAATATTAGACTTCCATCACTCTCACAACACTCCCTTTCACATTTCACATTTTATCTGTATTTCAGTATTATTTTCATCTTAATATATAGATATGTATATATAGCTATGTTTCCCCTTTTCCATTCACGAGGTCATTCTAGACGCAGCCAAATTTTTACATTAGAAACATGTCTTTCTAAATGGAATGGAAGTGCTTAGGTTTAATGCTGTTTTTTTTTTCAAACAAACAAAACGTATTTGATGTGATTTCGGCACGTATTTCATTCTGATTTCGGCAGGAAAGTCCGAGTTTGTCTTATACACAGAACGTTGCAATTAATTATTTCTTCATTTTGGGCTCAAAAAATAGGGGTTCGATTTATGCATGGGGGCATCTTTATATATATATATATATATATATATATATATATATATATATATATATATATGGGTTTTTACACCATTACAAAATGAAAAAGAAAAAATACAAAATACAAAATAAAAATAGTTAAAAACAATCAATCTTTTCATCGTTTATCTTTCATTTACTTGTTTCTCGGACCTCCTCATACCTCCCTTTTTTGTATTCCAATTCAATTTATTAGTTCAGCAGTTTCTTTCCCTCTTTATTTTACCTTGATCTTTAATCTTAAATTATTTTGATATTAAATTTTTACTTATAGAAGATCATTTTTTTTCATATTCTTTTATACCATTACAGCTAGAAACCACTTCATTTCAATCCAACGTCATTCTAACATTCATTAGTTTTGCAATATTTCTGTAGATAGTCCTTAAACTTCTTCCAGTCTTCTTCCACCGACTCTTCTCCCTGGTATGGGGGCATCTTATACACGGAAAAATATGATATATGCACATCTGCATTGTGCATTTAAAGTGCACATAGAAAACTGGGGTCTAGGCTCAAAGGCTTCCTATGCGCGCTGAATTTGCATCCTTGCTTTGTTAACCATTCTCACATTATCCCCACCCCAATTCTGCTTCGTGTTTTCTTAATCTAGGGTGACCAATGGTGGCAAAACCACTTTGACCAAAAGACTTACCCAAGCGCTCCCAAACTGTTGCGTTGTCCATCAAGATGACTTCTTCAAGGTAAGCATCACACACCCCTTTGGTTTAATGCTGATTTTTTCAAACAAACAAAGACATATTTGATGTGATTTAATGCATAGTGCAACAACTAAAACTGGTAAGCATTGCTCTGTCGTTACAAAAAAAAACCCAACTTGTCCGGGGAGGGCATTAAAACCTTAAAAGCACAGATGCTCATTATTTTTGGTCCGGGCCACAATTTTAGGGCTCGTATATATTTTCCCGTGTATTATTCCCCCCAAATCTTTGAAGTTTAAAATTGGGGGTCTTATACACGGAATGTTGCAATTAATTATTTCATAATTTTGGACTCAAAAAATATACACGGAAAAATACGATATATGCACATCCACACCGTGCATTTAAAGTGCATGGCTCCCCCTCCAAAAAAAAGAAAACTAGCTTGGGAACTAGCTTGCGACCGGCAAGGATAACAGGGAGAAGGAAACTACAGTTCCCATGATTCTTTGCAAGGGAACCGCCCCTTAACTGCATGGTATGGAGGTGAATGCCTGCAGCGCAGTTCCTAACTGTGTCTACTCGGAAGCAAGTGCTGCTGAGCTTCCTCCTCAAATAGGTTAGGATCATAGCCATTTGTACTGTTTTTACTCCAGGTTAGATAACCTGGGATAGCAACCGCACCCTTGTTTTAGGGATAACCGCTGACGCAGGTTAAAACCCCCCACTTCTCCCATACCCATTGAAACTACAGTCGCACCTTGGAAGTCGAGCGGAATCCGTTCCGGAAGTCCGTTCGACTTCCGAAATATTCGGAAACCAAACCGCGGCTTCTGATTGGCTGCAGGAAGCTCCTGCAGCCAATCGGAAGCCCCGTCGGTTCGGGTTCCGAAAGAACGTTTGCAAACCGGAACAATCACTTCCTGGTTTGCGGCGTTCGGGAACCAAAACGTCCGAGTCCCAGGGTGTTCGGGATCCAAGCTACGGCTGTATTCCATTCATTTGAATCTTTCTATTGTGAATATAATGTAGTGGTTCAAATGCGTTACCTGGCAATGGGTTGGTTCGTGGGATATGCTACCAGCAGTGGTTTTCCAATTTTCTAACTGTCAAGGACGGTAGCATGCCATACATTGAAAGCACATAAGGTGTGTCCCCCCACCCCAAATACCGCATTTTTCGCTCTATAAGATGCACCAGACCACAAGACGCACCTAGTTTTTGGAGGAGGAAAACAAGAAAAAATATATTCTGAATCTCAGAAGCCAGAACAGCAAGAAGCATCACTGCGCAGCAAAAGCAGCAACCCCTCTTGCTGTTCTGGCTTCTGGGATAGCTGCGCAGCCTGCATTCGCTCCATAAGACGCACACACATTTCCCCTTACTTTTTAGGAGGGGAAAAGTGAGCCTTATAGAGCAAAAAATACGGTAATCCTGGTCACTGAAGATTGTTGAGAGTGCTGGAACCTGAATGGTAGAAATGTAGATCTGCAAGGAGTAAACTGCAATACCCCCGATTCTTGTATAGTGTGAAGTTGTCTTTCTAGAAACTCCTCGTGTTGCAAAGTTGTGTTCTTGGGGGCATGGATTCGCACTCGGGTCACGTGGGGCCAAACGGGCGGATTGGGCCTCACTGCCACCCTGTGTGAATTGGGGTGGGGTGTGAACCGTAGAATGCACCCAGATATTCCATATGATTGATAGTGATGAGCCAGGGCTGGATAGGGATGGGTTCAGGGAAAATACCAGCCACAGAATCGCAGAATTTTAGGGTCACCCACAAGGGTCACCATCTTGTCCAACCCTCTGCAATGCAGGGATAACCGATCTTCTCGCTGAGGGGACCACACACCCCACCCCAGGTTTGCTCAAACGCCAAAACCAATATTGCACATTTTAATAAGCAGCTACCTGCCATATATATATATATATATATATATATATATAATTTTCAATGCAAAATTATAACAAAAATTACAAACATTGAATCCAAAATAATACTAGATAATAACAAGATAATAACAAGGGGGGGGGAAAACAGAACACAAAAAAGGAAAGAAAAAGCACACATCTACAAATAAAACCATATCTTCAGTCTAATCTAGTCATTACATACATATACACATATTGACTTCCTTCCTTTGTTCTAAGACCTCAAAATTTTTACTCTTACTAAATTGTTGTGTCTAATGTAGATTACTTCTATCTTTATACTTTTTACACCATTTTTCTTTTTCTTTAACCCTGTAAAGCATCATTCATTACATACCAATATGCTTACTCCAGAACAATGTTTTTTATATACTCTTTAGCGCGGGTGGCGCTGTGGGTAAAAGCCTCAGTGCCTAGGGCTTGCCGATCGAAAGGTCGGCGGTTCGAATCCCCACGGCGGGGTGCGCTCCCGTTGTTCGGTCCCAGCGTCTGCCAACCTAGCAGTTCGAAAGCACCCCGGGTGCAAGTAGATAAATAGGGACCGCTTACTGGCGGGAAGGTAAACGGCGTTTCCGTGTGCTGCGCTGGCTCGCCAGATGCAGCTTTGTCACGCTGGCCACGTGACCCGGAAGTGTCTGCGGACAGCGCTGGCCCCCGGCCTCTTGAGTGAGATGGGCGCAGAACCCTAGAGTCTGTCAAGACTGGCCCGTACCTGCCAGCTATATAAACCGAGTACCCTCCGGGTATCTACACATGTATACGGACAAACAGGCATATGCTTTGATTTAAAAAACAGCAGAACTGATTTTCTGTTGCAGCTGTTCTCTTGTATATTGTGCAAGATTTCATCTTGCGTCACAAAATATTTGATTCTGAAGAGCAGGCCAGCATTGGAACTTTAAGTGACCCCAGAGGACAGTTCTCCCCTCCTCAGAAAATTAGTTTAACACCCCACCCCAAATTAGCCATTGTAGCTAATTAAAAGAAATATGCTTTTTTGGGGGGTCCCCTTTCCACCACCAGAGGAATGCACTTTATGCCCTCTGTAGCCTTATTTTTTTCCCTTTTGGGAAAGCCATAACTCATTAGTAGAGCAAAAGGTCCCAGATTTGATTTGTGGCATATCCCTGCCTGAAATCCTGGAGACTGCACTGAGCTAGGAACACGGATATATGTTCCTGTGTAAGGTGACTCTAAGCAAGTCACATTAAGCCCAAATCATTTGTGTGCTGTCCTTTCCTTTAACCAAAATTATTATTGCTCCTTAGAAATGCCCTTCCAGCATTCCTTTAATTTTGTAAAACTTGAATTGCAGTTACACACACACACACACACACACACACACAAACACTACTCCACTGTTAAAAAATATAATTTTCACCTGTGTAATTCTTTGGGGTGTTGTTTCATTTCAAAAATGTAGCTTAAACTAGCAAAATTAATTTGCTACAGAGTTCAGAAAGTCTCCCCCCGTCTTTGCCACCACATTTCAGGGAAGTTTTTAATATTTTAAATATTTAACGCTGTATTGTTTTTAACACTTGATTGGGAGCCGCCCAGAGTGGCTGGGGAAACTCAGCCAGATGGGCGGGGTATAAATAATAAATTCTTCTTCTTCTTCTTCTTCTTCTTCTTCTTCTTCTTCTTCTTCTTCTTCTTCTTCTTCTTTCCTCTCTACACCGCATGCACCACATGGTATTTATTCCCAAGTTTCCCCCCAGAATGCCAGTTCAGATATGCGAGAACGAGCTGTTTCATATCTGTGCCGGGTCTGGAGATCACATGTGTGTACCTTACCTGGTGCATATAGGACACTGACACATGTTTGTGTGCACAAATCAGTGCACATGTCTGTGTGGCCGAGTCCTGCCGGTGGCGGCTGGTGCAACACGGCAGGAGTGGGGAACATTTGACCTCCTTAGATGTTCTTAGGCAGGCATCCCCAACCTGCGGCCCTCCAGATGTTTTGGGACTACAACTCCCATGATCCCTAGCTAACAGGACCAGTGGTCAGGGATGATGGGAATTGTAGTCCTAAACATCTGGAGGGCCGAAGGTTGGGGATCCCTGTTCTTAGGCTACAACCCCCACCAGCCTTGACTCTTGGCCATGCTGTCCGCGATTGGTTGGAGATGATAACATCTGGAGTGCCCAAGGTTCTCCACCCCTGAATCAGCGCAAAATGGGGCACTGCCCCTCCAGCCATAATCAGCCCTTATCTATCGGCTTTCTTACTTACCTGCTATTCAGCGGGTGACCCCAGGTGTCCTCATGTAGGCGAGGCAAACGGGGGGGGGAATAGCAAAAAATGGAGAGCAGCTAGCTTGGGACTAGGGTGGATCGGCGGGGCTGGGGGTTGTGTTGGTATTGTCGTTTGTTCTGCAGCACAGCTGTTTTTGCTAAGTCAGCACCTTTGCCTCCGTTGTGTGTATGTGTGTATTTTGCAGTAGTGTCCAGGTTGTGATCGGATCGTAGATAAAACTGATCACCCTGCCTTTGCAGCAATGTTTTATTGGTCACTATATTTCAGCCACAAGATCAAATACAAGTCGGGGAAGACGGATTTAAACAATGGGATGGTAAGAGCGGTGTTCGCTATAGCTGCAGTAATGTATATTTTCCTAAGTATATATATTTTATTTTTATCACTATAATATTATTAAATAAAGACTTAACAGTAAAATCTGCACCATTCTATAAATACACGTTTAATTTACACACTTTCACACTCTTGAGTTTTTCGTCTTTATCTCCTTACTGACTTTTCTGCGTGTCTGTGTGCATATATATATATTTCCCACCTAGTGTTGGCTTCCTTGGATATGGATGCGATGGTGAGCACTGTTCATGCGTGGATTGAGAATCCCATGAAGTTTGCCCGATCCCATGGAGTGAGTGTTTCCTGTCAATCAAAGCAGCCCAGTTCTGATGATACCCATATACTGATTGTTGAAGGTTTCCTTCTTTACAACTACAGGTAAGATATATTTGCTTTTTTTGTAGTAGTAGTAAAAAAAAGGTAAAGGTAAAGGACCCCTGACAGTTAAGTCCAGTCGCAAACAACTCTGAGGTTGCGACGCTCATCTCAATTTACTGGCCGAGGGAGCCAGCGTTTGTCCGCAGACAGATTTTCCGGGTCATGTAGCCAGCATGACTAAGCCGCTTCTGGCGAAACCAAAGCAGCGCACGGAAATGCCGTTTACCTTCCCGCTGGAGCGGTACCTATTTATCTACTTGCACTGGCGTGCTTTTGAACTGCTAGGTTGGCAGGAGCTGGGACCGAGCAACGGGAGCTCACCCCGTCGCGGGGATTCGAACCACCGACCTTCTGATCAGCAAACCCTAGACTCTGTGGTTTAGACCACAGCGCCACCCGCGTCCACTTTAAAGTATGCATTTGGTTGCGCCTGTCCTATTGACCCCTGGTGCTGGGCTTTGAATAAGAGCTTCTGCAAACATATCACCTGCTCTCTGTATAACACTTGATTGTCTCTGCCAGTCAATAATAATAATAATAACAATAAGGTTTTCCCAGCCACTCTGGGTCCCTGTTGCGAGAGACCCTAGAAATCATTCGTGGTGATTATAATGATTTTATTGTTTATTAAATTTCAACACCACCATCCGAAGATCGCAGGGTGGTTTACAATATGAAAACGCAAAAATACACAACATAATAACAAACAAAAGCAACAACCCCTGCCCCACCCACAGTATTATTATTCATCACAAACAACGGTATGACTTTGTGCAACCATGTGGTTTAGGAAAGATCCTTTCTCAAGTAATTTCGAACCTTAATTTTTCTCACCTGCAGACCACTGATTGACTTGTTCGACAAACGCTATTATCTAGCAGTCCCATACAGTGAATGCAAGTGGAGGAGGAGGTAAGAACGGCTCTTCGGCTTTAATATTGTGACGCTGAAATTTCATGTGGTATTCACCTCATTCCTATGACATAATTGCAAGTTGCAGAATTGGAAAACTTCTGAGGTCCACGTCAGGCTAAAAGATTCCTGCATTGCAGAGGATTGGACGAGATAACCCTCTCATGGTCCTTTCCCTCTCTGATTCTATGATTCAAAGTCATACTTCTCTGAATTTTGCAGTTCAGTTCTCCAGATTTTTGTACCGTATACAAAAATGCATGTGGTAGGGCAAATAATACACACAAAAAAACCCACATTACATTAAGGGAAATCGTCTTGCAAAATTGTATAGGTTAGACATAAAGGTAAAGGTAAAGGGACCCCTGACCATTAGGTCCAGTCGTGGCCGACTCTGGGGTTGCAGCGCTCATCTTGCTTTATTGGCTGAGGGAGCCGGCGTACAGTTTCCGGATCATGTGGCCAGCAGGCCTAAGCCGCTTCTGGCGAACCAGAGCAGCGCACGGAAACGCTGTTTACCTTCCCGCCAGAGTGGTACCTATTTATCTACTTGCACTTGACGTGCTTTCGAACTGCTAGGTTGGCAGGAGCAGGGACTGAGCAATGGGAGCTCACCCCGTTGCGGGGATTCGAACTGCCGACCTTCTGATTGGCAAGCCCCAGGCTCTGTGGTTTAACATAGACATAACTGCATACAAAAATACGTAGATTAGAAGAAATCAACACTAAAATGCTGGTGAATTTTCACGAGGGCTTAAAAGAAATAATCCAAACTCTTGTGATAAGGAGAACTGAAGACTGGGGGGGGGGGAATGAGAAATTGAGAGAAACCATCTAACCCTAGTAGTTGCTGATGGCACAGAAGTGCTTACCGACACTGCTGTACAAACCTAATGTGGGAATTCACTTTTTTTTTAGTCCATTAGTCATGTCCGACTCTTCGAGGCTCCATCTGTGGGCCGGTCCATCGTCCCTCAGACCATGTGGGGGGCCGGACTATTTTTTTTGGGGGGGTGAACGAATTCCTACGCCCCACAAATAACCCAGAGATGTATTTTAAATAAAAGGATACATTCTACTCATGTAAAAACACGCTGATTCCCAGACCGTCCATGGGCCGGGTTGAGAAGGCGATTGGGCCGCATCTGGCCCACGGGCCTTAGGTTGCCTTCTCCTGGTATAGATTAACAAATTTCTTTTCTGTTTGCAGTACACGTAAATACACAGTACCGGACCCCCCTGGTCTCTTCGATGGCCACGTATGGCCCATGTATCTTAAGCACAGGAAGGAAATGGAGGCTAACGAAGTGGATGTTGGTAAGAAACAACTTGAAGTAGCTTGACTCTGACTTAGAAAGAACTCTCGGAGTGTTGTGCAAGTGTTTGCGTGTGATAATTTTTTAAAAATGTGATGTGCTTAGAGCAGACCTTTCCAAACATCTCATGTTGGTGGCACCTTTTTTAAGACATGCATTGTTTTGCGACAAAGTACCGTATTTTTTGCTCTATAAGACTCACTTTTTCCCTCCTAAAAAGTAAGGGGACATGTGTGTGCGTCTTATGGAGCGAATGCAGGCTGCGGAGCTATCCCAGAAGCCAGAACAGCAAGAGGGATTGCTGCTTTCACTGCGCAGCGATCCCTCTTGCTGTTCTGGCTTCTGAGATTCAGAATATTTTTTCCCTTGTTTTCCTCCTCCAAAAACTAGGTGCGTCTTGTAGTCTGGTGCGTCTTATAGAGCGAAAAATGCGGTAATTCAGTTTTACTAGCAAACCAGAGGTCAAACTAACCCCTTTCCAGCCCTGAGAGGAGCACAGGGGGCGTTCGCGTGACATACCTACACGCTGCGGCCGACGCACTAAATATGCTGTGGTACACAGTTTGGAAAGCCCCGGGTGGGGAATCTTTGGCCTTCCCATTGTTCCTAAACATCCCGTCTACCCCAGAAATGGCCAACGGTCAAGTCTTAATGGGAGTTGTAGTCCAACATGGGGCTTATCCACACCTCCACTTTCCCCTGGGAAAACCCATGCTTTAGTGCTGAATCGGAACAAAAGGCAGCCGGTTTTCCCATGGATTGCTTTTTGTTCCGATTTAGCACGGAAGAGAGTGTTTTCGGAGGGGGGGGAGTGGCTGGGCCAAAGCAAACCGCTCAGATCTATGCCTAGAAAATACAGGGTAAGTGAAGAACTGCCTGGAGCCATGTTTTTTAGGCACGGGATGAGCAAAAGTGTGTACAGCCCATCCGGAGGGCTAGAGGTTTCCTAATCCTGAGCTAGGTGATAAAATTGTTTCTTTTAGTTTTGCTCAATCGTCTCTTCAGTTTATATCCTGCCCTTCTTCCCAAAGGCATTTTGAACGCACCAGTAATATTGTTAAAAATAGTTAAACAATCAAATTCTCTCAGCCAGTAATTTCAGGGTTGCTTATTTTGTATGCTTGCTAATATTATAATAATAAATAATAATAATTTATTATTTATACCCCGCCCATCTGGCTGGGTTTCCCCAGCCACTCTGGGCGGCTTCCAACAGAACACTAAAATACAATAACCTATTAAACATTAAAAGCTTCCCTAAACAGGGCTGCCTTCAGATGTCATCTAAAAGTTTGGTAGTTATTTTTCTCTTTGACATCTGGTGAGAGGGCGTTCCACAGGGCGGGTGCCACTACCGAGAAGGCCCTCTGCCTGGTTCCCTGTAACTTGGCTTCTCGTAGCGAGGGAACTGCCAGAAGGCCCTCAGCCTTAATTAATTTATTTTTAAAGTTTGATTATAGATAATAAAATCACCTCTGTCTCCTTTGTCACCTTGTGAGGGTGTTAGCCCTAAGAACCAACCACATATTACTTTGAATAAGTAAATATCATTTCCCACAATACTGCACCGTTGAGCCGCCCTTTTATAAGCACTTGTGCCGGCTCCAGATCTGCGGGGATCCTTCTCCCTCATTGAGTCTACCTCCTCACTCAAATTACCGCCTGCTTGCTGCCAAAAGTCCACTGAGCCAGCAGGGCAGTGCTGTGTTCAGCTCCTCTTTATTTTGGCCAGAGCAAGAGTCTGGTGAATAAGCAAATAAGCCTCACTGGATTCAATGGATCATACTCAATTGCTTGGCAAGATTGCAGCGTTATACATTTTGCAAGCCTGACTCTAGCGGGTTAGATCTCTTAAGGTAAAGGTAAAGGGACCCCTGACCATTAGGTCCAGTCGCGGCCAACTCTGGGGTTGCGGCGCTCATCTCGCTTTGTTGGCCGAGGGAGCCGGTGTACAGCTTCCAGGTATGTGGCCAGCATGACTAAGCTGCTTCTGGCGAACCAGAGCAGCACACGGAAACGCCGTTTACCTTCCCACTGGAGTGGTACCTATTTATCTACTTGCACTTTGACGTGCTTTTGAACTGCTAGGTTGGCAGGAGCAGGGACCGAGCAACGGGAGCTCACCCGGTCACGGGGATTCAAACCGCCAACCTTCTGATCAGCAAGTCCTCGGCTCTGTGGTTTAACCCACAGCGCCACCCGCGTCCATGCAAAACTGTCATGTTGATTTATTTACTGGCATCCCCGCATGTGAAATTCACAACTGCCTGTTCTTCTTTTCAGTTTATCTGGATGGGCTGAAGTCCAGAGACGATCTTTACATGGAAGTCTTTAAAGAAATACAGAACAAGCTTTTGAATCACTCATAGGTGAATATACTCCTGGATGAAAGGGGAGGAGGTTATTTTCTACCTTGCCCTTTGTATCTTCCTCATAATGCTTTGGGTATTAATTGCCTTATGTTTGCTTTTCAGGATCTGTGGGAAGTTAAAAGATCTATGTACAAATCTGATGTAAATACTATTTTGGATATTTACTGAAACATGTTAAGTGAACATGCCTTCCTTGGCACTGCCCATTGGAAAATAACTTTATGTATATAATTGAAAAAATAAGGTAGTTTATTTACAACTCAACCACGGGCAGTTGTTGTTTTTTATGTACTTATTTTATATTCCATTGGCTTAAACGTGTGTGTTTTAAAAACGCATTTTTATAATGGAACACTTCAGTGAAGTCTGTAAAATACCACTGGTTTTACGTACGTAGCTTTGTGTCAGTAATAAGCTTCTGTTTAACTGCTTGTGCAAGAACACACGGCATACTCAATAAAGAAACATTTGGACATTTGGTCTCTCATTTTGCTTTACTGAATGTCGTCAGGAGTCCTTTCCTTTGGCTTCAGAACACAACAGTTAATGCAACCCCCCCACTCCGAGCCAAGGAGATAAGCAACTATACAACCTTTAGAAGACATTTGTAGGCAGCTTTGTATAGATAAGGGACGTGGGTGGCGCTGTGGGTTAAACCACAGAGCCTATGACTTGCTGATCAGAAGGTCGGCGGTTCGAATCCCCGCGACAGGGTGAGCTCCCGTCGCTCGGTCCCTGCTCCTGCCAACCTAGCAGTTTGAAAGCACATCAAGTGCAAGTAGATAAATAGGTACCGCTCCGGCAGGAAGGTAAACGGCGTTTCTGGTTTGCCAGAAGTGGCTTAGTCATGCTGGCCACATGACCCGGAAGCTGGACGCCAGCTCCCTCAGCCAATAAAGCGAGACGAGCGCCGCAACCCCAGAGTCGGCCACGACTGGACCTAATGGTCAGGGGTCCCTTTACCTTTTGTATAGTTTTATTATGTTTTTATATATGTTGGAAGCTGCCGAGAGTGGTTGGGGAGGGTATAAATAAAAAAAATATATTATTATAGAGTAGGACGTTCCTATTTTCAGAAATATTGGAGTGTATGCTCTCCTGATTGATGGTACACACTGGTGCTGGGGGGTTTCCCCTCCTTGGTGGAATGAGTAGCAAATAGCAAGACAATCGCGTGTTCTTAAGGCGGTAGCACGGGGGGCTGAGTCACGGCCCTCAGCAGGGAATGAGCGCCAGGGAATCTGATACATCTCCCCCGTCCCCAGTGGTTCTGACTGACCTTTCATATAATCACACATTTGGAAGCGGGCTTGGAAATGTCACAGAAAATCTCAGCCATGTGCTAAAGGGAAGTTGTCAGCTGCCAGGGGGGTCAGAAGAACTTGAGAGCAGATGTCCGGAGGGGGGGACTCAGCAGGATGAGCAGGTGAGGTGTCCCGTCTGTCCCCCCACTCAAGGAAGAAAACCCCCAACGCAGCAGGACCGGCTTGCCCACATTCTGAAATAAAACAAGCGACAAGAATTGCCATCTTATGTTAACGTGTCCAGAGGAGGGCAACCAAAATGGTCAAAGGCCTGGAAACGATGCCTTATGAGGAACGGCTAAGGGAGCTGGGCATGTTTAGCCTGGAGAAGAGGAGGTTAAGGGGTGATATGATAGCCATGTTCAAATATATAAAAGGATGTCACATAGAGGAGGGAGAAAGGTTGTTTTCTGCTGCTCCAGAGAAGCGGACACGGAGCAATGGATCCAAACTACAAGAAAGAAGATTCCACCTAAACATGAGGAAGAACTTCCTGACAGTAAGAGCTGTTGGACAGTGGAATTTGCTGCCAAGGAGTGTGGTGGAGTCTCCTTCTTTGGAGGTCTTTAAGCAGAGGCTTGACAACCATATGTCAGGAGTGCTCTGATGGTGTTTCCTGCTTGGCAGGGGGTTGGACTCCATGGCCCTTGTGGTCTCTTCCAACTCTATGATTCTATGATTCTATCTATAGGGCACCCCCTTTGGGCCATTATGCACGACTCTAAAATTACCCAACTGAACCACTGCTCGGGTTCATCGTCGGGTATCAAGGGACCACAATATGAGCCTTTCCTTCCATGGGCATAGCCAGGATTTATGTTTATAGGGTGGGGGGCGAGACACCCACCTGTCTTCATCCTCTGTATGGGGTCCACCTAGCAGATCTGGAATGAAATGTCTCCACCCCACTTGTTTCAAGTTACAGTGGTACCTTGGTTCCTGAACGGCTTCACTGAGGAACAGATTGGTTCCCAAACGCCACAAGCCCAGAAGTAAGCGTTCCAGTTTGCAAACGTTTTTCGGAAGCCGAACGTCCATTTTGACTGTCAGCTATTGTTTACAACTGAATTGTTGTATTGTTTTTAACACTCGATTGGAAGCCGCCCAGAGTGGCTGGGGAAACTCAGCCAGATGGGCGGGGTATAAATAAATTATTATTATTAAAAGGGGAAGAAATGGAGGCAGTGAGAGATTTTACTTTCTTGGGCTCCATGATCACTGCAGATGGTGACAGCAGCCATGAAATTAAAAGACGCCTGCTTCTTGAGAGAAAAGCAATGGCAAACCTAGACAGCATCTTAAAAAGCAGAGACATCACCTTGCCAACAAAGGTCCGTATAGTAAAGGCTCTGGTTTTCCCAGTAGTGATGTATGGAACTGAGAGCTGGACCATAAAGAAGGCTGATCGCCCAAGAATGGATGCTTTTGAATTCTGGTGCTGTTGGAGACTCTTGAGAGTCCCATGGACTGCAAGAAGATCAAACCTCTCCATTCTGAAGGAAATCAGCCCTGAGTGCTCACTGGAAGGACAGATCCTGAAGCTGAGGCTCCAATACTTTGGCCACCTCATGAGAAGAGAAGACTCCCTGGAAAGACCCTGATGCTGGGAAAGATGGAGGGCACAAGGAGAAGGGGCCGACAGAGGACGAGATGGTTGGATAGTGTTCTCGAAGCTACCAGCATGAGTTTGACCAAACTACGGGAGGCAGTAGAAGACAGGAGTGCCTGGCGTGCTCTGGTCCAGGGGGTCACGAAGAGTCGGACACAACTAAACGACTAAACAACAACAACAATTATTATTATTATTCCAGGACCAACCAGCCAATCGGAAGCCGCGCCTTGGTTTCCGAACATCTTGGAAGTCAAACGGACTTCCAGGAAACGGATTGAGTTCTGGAACCAAGTTGCTGAATCCGTGGCTGAAAACTATGGCCAGAAAAGTCACCTCGATTGGCCTGCCACCATCCCTCTTATATTATCTGGGTTACGACACTGCCCTCGAATCCCTGAGGCAAAGACTTTGGGACATCTCACATAGCGACCTGCAATCCAGGTCTTATGTAATTTGTAGCCCGGTCGCAGCTGGAACCCAATACGGGTATGACTTTCAGATATCCTCATACCTTAGGAATTTGTCTGTACCTATCGGTGTTTATTTACTAAGTCTAATTCCCTCAGAAGTTCTAAATGGCAGGCTGAGGGGCGTCCCCTATCAGAATAGGTTTTGTTTATGTCCCCAGGACGTCGATTGTATGAAGCATATCCTACTGCATTGTGGGATCAAACACTGAAGCCTTCCTCCTTTTAGGAATTCTTGGTGCCGAAATCCCAAGGGAGCAGAAAAGACTATTCATGTATGTGACCACGGCTGCACGGATATGATTGGTCCAGAGATGGAAAGAAGCTAAAGTTTCCACCAGAGAAGAATGGCAGATGAAGTTGGTGGACTACGCCGAAATGGCTAAAATGAGCGGAGGAGTCAGAAATCAGGAAGACCAAAATTTTAGTAAGGAATGGGGAAAATTTATAAGACAGTTCAAAATCATTAGTAGGATTGGAATAGCACTTGTAGTTTAAGGCTGATTCTGGACATAATGGAAGGGGTAAAGGGTTTGGATGAGGATAAAGGATACGAGAGGAAAGGATTAATAATAGGACCACAAAGGGGAGGAGAAAAGTACAGGAGATTCCTTGATCTTGTTTTTTATTATTTATGTTTGGTATATCTCTGTTACCCGGGACGCGGGTGGCGCTGTGGGTAAAAGCCTCAGCGCCTAGGGCTTGCCGATCGAAAGGTCGGCGATTCGAATCCCCGCGGTGGGGTGCACTCCTGTTGCTTGGTCCCAGCACCTGCCAACCTAGCAGTTCGAAAGCACCTCCGGGTGCAAGTAGATAAATAGGGACCGCTTACTAGCGGGAAGGTAAACGGCATTTCCATGTGCTGTGCTGGCTCGCCAGATGCGGCTTTGTCACGCTGGCCACGTGACCCGGAAGTGTCTCTGGACAGCGCTGGCCCCCGGCCTCTTAAGTGAGATGGGCGCACAACCCTAGAGTCTGTCAAGACTGGCCCATACGGGCAGGGGTACCTTTACCTTTACCTTTTATATCTCTGTTAATTTTTTCAGTTGAAAAATCAAATCCAGTGGTACCTCTGGTTGTGAACGGGATCCGTCCCAGAGGCCCGTTCGCAACATGAGCAGAACGCAACCCACGTCTGCACATGCGCAGGTCGCGATTCACCACTTCTGCGCATGTGCATGACGTCATTTTGCGCGTCTGTGCATGCGCAAGCAGCGGAACCCTTTCCGGTACTTCCAGGTCGCCGCGGGACGCAACCTGAAAACACTCAACCTGAAGCAAACGTAACAAGATGTATGACTGTAAATAAATTTGAAAACAAAAAGAGCGATGGGAACTTCTTTCCGTTTGGCCCCACCACGAAACCCACCCTGGTGCAGAACTCATGGTTACACCCCAGAACGGATCAATGGACCACGGGAACATTTTCCAGGGTGCTTGTAACGCGATCTTGAGACGACGTGAAACCGTGTTGTGTAAAGGAGATGTGAGCAGGTGGGAAGACCGGTCGGCGGCCTCCTCGCTTCGAGGGATTAGTCTTCTTTCGCCAGAGAGGGGGGTGAGAAGAGGTTATGTGAGGTCTCCAGGCCTCTGGAACAGCCCCACTGCAAATTCTGCAAAGGGCGGACCGGGGGGGGGGAGGGTTTGAACCAACCCTTCGCCTTCAGCAGTTTGGCCCGGAGAAATCCCTGAGCCGCTGCCAACTCGCCGGGCCTTTAACCAAAGTTGGAAAGGAGGTCGGCGGGACCAGTTTCCTGCTATTAATAGAGGCCGAATTTCTCTCTCCCCATAATGTCCAGCCTTGCAGAAGTGGAACGAAAGACACTCGACAGAGGGCAAGCGGCAGGAGGGTGCGTACTCAGAGATATTAGGTATATTAAAAAGCCAAGGGAATCAGTTTCTCCCTCCTTCTCCCCCCTCTCCAAAACACACCAAATATTTGTGGGTTTTTTAATTTTTTGAATAACAACCAAACAGCATACAATCAACCTACTTGAAATAAAAAATTGTCCAGTAGCACCTTATAGACCAACTCAGTTTGTTCTGGTGCAAGCTTTCGTGTGCATGCACACTTTTTCAGATGCTTGTTGTTGTT